CTCTATCTCGCTTTCTCTCTCGCTTTCTCTCAATCTCATCCTTTCTCCCTCTATGCCCCTTTCCATTATTCGTAATTATGTAAAAGAGATGCTAGTATCTAGGCAATATTTCTTAATTTTAATTTTTGAAAATGATTGCAGCATTATTATTGTTATTGTTTCTTTCGAACTTAGTGTACGGTCTAAGTTACAAGCTTATATATAATTCTCTATATATCTTGAAGCAAAGACGAGGCCCCCCATAGATGGAGGTCCATTTTAACAGGTGGGCGAAGCTCTTCTGGACCCTGAAGAAAGAGACTGAGGGGTATAAAATAAAACCCTTAATACCATTCATCATAGGGGTGTCTGGTATAAGATATTCGGATCTCACGCGGACACTGTCAGATTGTTTCTTCCCAAACATTTACCTGAACGAAAAGTACGCCTTCCAGGGGATTTAACGTTTCTTAAAACGTTTCGATACTTACAACCCCTCGTAGCAGTACAGAGCCCTTCAGAAGAGGAGAAGAGTTAAGACACGGCGTCCTGTGTATGAACAATTCTCTTATAGTTTGCAATTTGTAGGACCTTCTACTAGTACGTCATATTCCACCAGTTCCTTCTCCTATACCTCACGTGGGGAATATACAGGACGTACTAGTTCATATTTCTACAGTTCTTCTTCCTATTATACCTCACGTGGGGAATATACAGGACCTACTAATCCATATTTCTCCAATTCTTCCTCACGTGGTGAACATACGCGACCTGCTGTGTCATATTTCTCCACTTCCTCCTCCTATTATACCTCGTGGTGAATATACCCGACGTAGTAATTCACATTTCTCCAATTCTTCTTATTATACCTCACGTGGTGGTGAATACACACGACCTGCTGTGTCATCTCTCTTCCTCCTCTACTGCCCAGGTCTTATATCATCACGACGCCGCGCCAGTGGATACCAGGAGAAAAGAACCAGGTTTGCGTAAACGTACCGGACACCACGGCAGAGGCTGGCGTCATCACCTTGTACATGAGGACGACTGATTACAATTGGCAGGGCAGAAGGAACGTCACCATTCTCCCTGAAACGACATTTGAGATCCCCGCTGGTGAGTTGGGAGATGTTTGTGGGTTTTTTTTATGGCTGTGTCGCTCTCTCTCTCTCTCTCTCTCTCTCTCTCTCTCTCGCTCTCGCTCTCTCTCTCTCTCTCTCCCTCACAGACACACACACGAACAAACAAAACACATGCATACACACGCACGCACGGCGCATATATATATGAGACAAAGAATGAGATAGATTTTGCTTTTGTTTTGGGGTGTTTTTTGTTTTTTTGGCTGTGTCGCTCTCTCTCTCTCTCTCTCTCCCCCTCACAAACACGCACACACAAACAAACAAAACATGCATACACATGCATACACACGAATATATACACGTGAACACAAAAATTAAAATGAAACGCCACAATGAGAAAATGATAACGACGTTTCGAACTCTTCACTTCATCAGACAAAATCCGAAAAGGATCCATTTCGGTTTTTGTCTTATTATATACTATTGAAATATACTGGTGAAATATACCCCCCCCCCCTCTTGCATCTTTTATTTGCAACATTCCAAAGGCTTACAACCTCTTTCTTCTCTTGACCTCCCCCCCCCCCCCAAAGGTCAGATCGAGGCCTGCCAGCAAGTGACCGCTCCGAGACGTTCCGATTACCACGCTGACCTTTCCCTTACTGGGCGAGTGGGCGGGGCTGACCTGAAGGAGACCCTGGATATTGATTTAAAGGGAACCCATAACCTGACCATCATCCAGACGGACAAGTTCCTGTACGAGCCAGGTCAAGAGGTCAAGTTCCGGGTCCTTACAATTCACGGGTCAATGGGTCAGGTCGTTACAGATGTGGTAAGGAAGAGGGAAGGATAATGTGAGAAAGAGAGTGAGAGAGAGAATTAGAAAGATAAAAAAAAGAGAGAATATAGTGAATGGTTTGATGGTTTCGTGTGTGTATGAGAGAGAGGGAGGAGAGAGGAGAGGGAGGAGAGAGAGAGAGAGAGAGAGAGAGAGACAGAGAGAGAGAGAGACAGACAAAGAGGTATAATAGGAGAAAGAGAGAGAGAGAGACAGACAGAGAGAGAGAGAGAGACAGACAAAGAGACAGAGAGAGAGAGAGAGAGAGAGAAAAAAAGAGACAGAGAGAGAGAGAGAGAGAGAGAGAGAGAGGCAGAAACACGAGGTATAATAGGAGAGAGAGAGAGAGAGAGACAGAGAGAGAGAGAGAGAGAGAGAGAAACAGACACAGAGAAAGAGAGAGAGAGAGACAGAGAGACAGAGAGAGAGAGAGAGAGAGAGAGAGAGGCAGAAACACGAGGTATAATAGGAGAAAGAGAGAGAGAGAGACAGACAAAGAGAGACACAGAGAGAGAGAGAGTGTGTATATGAGTGTGTCAACATCCACACGTACCCTAACTAATACACACGCGTCCCATATATCTTTACATAGAATCCAAGTACATTCAATTCAGTGTCATATATAACACATCTACCCAATCAACAAAAAAATCAATTCATCAATCACCCTCTTTAAACATAAAATCACAAAAA